TTTTTTTGGGGGGAATGCTTTGTGTTAGCTTTTTTTGTATATAGTGCAGCAGAATGATAATGTTTTATTCTGCCACCATCAGCATCAAAATGACAAAATAAAACGTTCAGTGGAAAACTGTAAATTTAAATTCAGCTTAAAAAGGAACACATTTAAAATGGAAATCCATCTATCATCTTTATCTGCTTCTTCCGTTTTGGGTGTAGGGAGTCACTGGTGCCCATATCCAGCTACCACTGTGTGGGGGACACCCTGGACAGGTCTCCAGTCCATCACAGGGACACATAGAGACAAACAACCATTCTCTCTCTCACTCACACTTAGGAACAATATTATAGTTACCAATCAGCCCAACATGCATGTTTTTGGTTTGTTGAAGGAAACCAAAATACCCAGCGAAAACCCACGCATGCACCGAGAGAACATGCAAACTCCACCCTGTGGAGATCCTGGCTGGGATTTGATCTTGCGACCTTCTCAGTGAGAGGCAACAGCTCTACCAGCTGAACCAACGTGTCGCCTAAATGGAAATCAAATACGATTTTCAATTTATTTACTGAAGGTTTGTGGGATGAGCCTCTGACCAGTTCAGTCTTGAACAATGCGTCACCACTTCCATCAGCTGTGACACATAAACACAACACTAACAGGACTAATAATAACTCAACCGAATGCTTTAACTTATGACACTAACATTCCCTGTAAAGAAAATGCCATTTGACTAAGTAGTAATGTTTAAACCCCATTTGTTCTCAGCAGACATGGCTCAGTAGACATCACTCTGAACTATGAGGTCATACGGATTGATATACGTGTGCATGACTTTCAGTTTGAATGCTAAATCTATGTTAATCACTTCCAATCGCTCGTTAGGCAGAGAAACGAGATGAACAGAAACAGGCGTCCCTTTGCATCTCTGTGTGTCTGTAAAGGTCAGTGGTTTTAATGAGAGGAGCGCTGAGGTCAGAGGAGCCAGAGGGCTCCACCTCCCTGACAGGCCACATAACTCCACACCTGCTGTTAGCATGCTAATCCTTACAGCAGCTCCAGGAGCACTCTTCTTCTTCTTCCTTTTTGCTGCTTGGTTAAGCCATCCCTCACTGTGACAAACTGGCTCTGTGCTCGGCCATCAGCCAGCCCCCCTGCAAACAAACGTCTCATAATATAAAGGACAACAGAGGCAGCGTAAACCTCAACAACGCTCCACCTCACAAATGATCTCCTGCTGTGTCTCCACCTCTTGCTTACTTCTTGTTGCTTGGCAGTTCTGGTCACAGACAGAACCTGGGTGGCGGGAGCCGTATGTACGGCGGTGGTCGGGGGTGTTTGGCAAAGTCCTCCATGACACGTGTTGCCTTTCTCCCTCTGACAAAAAATGCTCAAAATCAATCCATCTTTGTGGAAGCAGGTCACAACGTGAGGCCTGAGCGTGCGTTCTGAACTCAGCTGAGCTTTCTGGGCCAGGCAGAGAAAGAGCACATTAACACACACAATCACTCACAGAGGCATCCCAAGCCAAACGGGAGAGGAGGAGAGAGGAGGATCCCACAGAGAGGATGATGCAACTCGAGTGAAATTTTTGGCCCAAAAACATGCTGCATTAACGCAGACCTGCAGGACGGAGAAACACGCCCACGTCCTCTTTCTTTGTTCAATATCGGGTTCGACTCCCTTTCCTTTTCCCTCTATCCCTCTTTTTTTGTTTCGCACAGACAGCAACCTGTAACATCTAATCGCCTGTAACAACCGCAGCACGAGTCCTTCATGTTTTTGGCATCGTGACTTCCTGGCCTCGGAGAACACAGTGTGCCCAAAGACTCTCTTCTCCACCTCCTTCCCTGACACGTTTCAGTGAAAGAGGCTGAAATATCAACACTAAGGTGTTCAGCGACGACCATAACTCCTTTTATGACCCGCACAGATTATAGCCCCCATCTGTAGCATAAGCCATCTGTAGTGTGGACGAATTTAAACAAGACTGCGATGGTCATTAGCCCGCATCTCTACTTGTTTTATTTCACTTGTACCAAAAGATAAACGAGTACAAAAATATATTTCAGATAACTACATTTTTATTGAGTGAAGCAGTTAAAAAGAACTTCATGGAACAAAAAGCTCTTTTTTTCAGGACGAAGACGTTCAGAGAGCAGAAACCTGAGGATATGGTTAGTTTCTGTCACCTGTCAGGACAAAACGGACAATTTGTCTTAACTCTTAATGAAATTGTAACACCTGACTTTGATCAACTCTAAGTACTTTGAGTGTCTGAGCCTATGGCGAGAGCTTTTCCTAACAAATCCATCACTCGCATCAAATGACCATCGAATGAAACCTCTAAAATAATACACGAGTCGTGGTAGTAGTTGGATTTGGTTAATTTAAAAATAAAAAGATTTTAAGTGTTCTACTCGGAGCACAACCTACATAAAAGGCACAATAACAGTAAACAGTACCATCACTTATTAAATGTCATCTCCATATCATCAAAGCTCAATTGCTGCAGTGATTACCACATAAAACCCAGTTTATAAATAGTGCCAGCAATCATATGTATACCTGCTCATCTTGAACAGATCCCCACCTCCCGTGCTGCGTTGCCAGAGCGGGGAGGAAGAGCTGGCTCTTTGTGCTGGCCGTGCCTCTCAGCCCCCCATTTGTGCTCGGCGGCAGCAGCAGCAGCCAGTGACCATTATAGATGGCCTCTATTAGCATGGCTTGGTCGCAGAGGGGAGAGGAATAAAATCATTGGAAGGAATGTAGACCCTGCTGGTGTCCTGGCACCCGCTATCAAGCTCTGCTGAGCACCCCCTCTCTGCCCTGAGCCTCCCTCCATCCCCCGTTTCAAGACACCATCCTAAAGACTAGATTACTAGTGATACATGGAGTCATTATGGGAAGGGTTATGGCAATAGTATCGCATGCACAGTTGACGGCGGCTATAATAGGGGTCTGTTTTCTTCAGAGGCAGCATTATCACTGCAAAGGTTATTCTTTTAGCGTGTTGATGTGAAGCAGAAAAGGATGAGGGCTTTTTATTTCCTGCCTTAGCAGAAAAGGTTTTGCATTATTGAGCTAGAAACTCTCTTTTATTAAAGTGCCATGCTATTTAAGGGTTAACGTAAATGAATACAACAGTGTGCACCTTTGAGGAAATTACATTTCTAACAACTTGGGAAAAAAAAAGGCCTGAATCAGTGAAGGAAATGAGTCAATCATCTGCAATCTCTGGTTGAAGCTGTGGTGGTACACCACCACACCCATCACAAAGAAAACAGGGTGCTGTCACTGAGCACATTAGTGCACAAAGTAAAGACAAAAGCAGGAGAAGAGAAGGAAAGAAGTGTGTCAAGCTGAGTTGATGAAAAGGAGAACAAAGACGGAAGAAGTATAAGGTGAGTTTTCTGGTGGGCAGTTCTATAGACTTCAGTCCACTGGAGCATGTCACACGTTAAAGGGTCACCATGCCCTCAGTTTGACTATCTCTGCTCCAGAGCAGGGCTTTAAAGAACAGCCTGAAACACCAGCGAGAAGGGGTCGGAGTAAAAACCTCACACAGACAACTGAGAAAGAACGAGTTTTAAATGAGAAGCATCGTCAAAATGACCGCGTTTGAACGTAAAACTGAGGGAGTTTGATTTTACGAGATATAAATGAAAGATGAAGTGTGCTTACTCCTTCGCTCTCAAACCCGTACTCTGCTTGTTTTACATTATGCCGCGAAGCCTTCAATAAAACCTGCCACGACAGCGGCGCGCACACTGAGTCACTTTGCCTGTTATTTGTGGCCCGTGCTGTCTTTTACTGCTAATTTGGATCTGTTCGACGAAGATTACCTCAGGAAGGAAAGTGTCGCGAAGGGAGAGGAGCACGGCCTTCAAACAGCTCGCAGTGAGCCAAGCGGGGCGGTAAAAGCCGAAAAGGAGTAGAGTGCCCCCCAGCTAACAGCGGGGGCTCGCTAATGAAAGTGGGGGCCCCAACCTGGAAAGCTGGGACCGTATATTGCAGGGAGGGAAGACAGTTCTTAGAATCAGTTGGCGAGCTGTGCCTGGAGTTCTGGGACCATTGGTGATTAACCATCCAAGAGGGAGTCTCTACTACAGCTGGACTATTAATAAAAAATACTGCCCCCCCCCCCCCCCCCCCCCCACACACACACACACACCCACACTATACACATCTTACTAACATCTCTTTGGTTCCTTTCCATGCCTGCAGTCAGTCTCCACCCTTTGCAACTGTTTGCGTTTCATAATCATTTCCTAATGGTGGATGTCAAACAGTGTTGACATGGAGCAAAAAGGGCTTATCAGAGTGTGTGTGTGTGTGTGTGTGTGTGTGTATTTTTTATTAATGGGTTAAGCAGTAAATAATCTATGCTGAACATTCTTGACCTGGAATATGTTGAGTTGTGTAAGGATTCTTAAACGTAACCACCATCCTTTTGTTGTAGGCTGCTCCTTCAAGGCCACACCAACGCTTAAAGACTTAACAAACGGCTTTAATTTGAATAAGAAGAAAAGTTTGATGAAACTAAAGAAAAGCTCGTAAACGAACAGAAAGTTTCAAAGGAATTGCAGAAACGTAACAACTCATGGAGGATGAGTTACTCGCTGTAGCAGCCACATATGATAAAACATTTAAAGTACAGTTTGTCCTCATTGGCCCAAACATTCACAAGGGCTGTTGCACGTTTGTACGCACGTGCACCCACTCTCTCCACACACACACACCGACTGTGTAACAGGCAGCAGTGTGTTATCGGTGCTGCTGTTCATCAAACACAACGTCCCGCTCACGCACGTCGTGACTCTTTGCTCAAGTCCAATAAAAACAATTCTTCTTATTCTGCTGCAATAAAATAAAAAGTCACAGCTCGCCATTAGTGCACTCATGCAACAATAATCATTTTGAGACAGAAATAAAGTGGAGCCATAGTTGACAGTGATGAGGAGGATGGGGATGGGATGGGATGGGGGGGGGGGGGGGGGTGTTGAACCCACCTTTGTGCATGCCCGTGAAGCGGTCTTTGAGCACGGTGAGCTCGTAGATCTTGCCAAACTCCTCGAACAGGGGCCGGAGGTCCTTCTCGTCCAGGTTGCGTGGGATCTGGCCGATGAAGAGCTTGATGGCATCGTGGTCCTTCATGGGTATGGTGGCCGGACATCCCACCGGGCTGCCGTGGCTTAATCCGTTCACGAGCCCGTTCGTGCTGACGGACACGACACCGTGCACGGTGCCGTCCACCTGCCCGTTGGTTAAAGTTGCCATCTTTCGTCGGAGCTGCCTGCCACTGAGTTGGGATGGAGACGGCAGCGGCGGATGATGGAGAATCGTTTTGATAAAAGGAAAAGAAACAAACAAGGATGAAGATTTGTCTCCGAGACCACCAAGCCGTGCCAAAGATGCTCCTCTCTCGTCCTATCACAGCCAGTATGTACACTGATTGGAAAACACATGTAGCGTTTGGCAAAGACACGTATAAAAAAGGCGCTGGTCCCGATGGAGGCTTTGATTCCTTATATTTATGTCCTCCTCAATAACTCGTTCATTGATTTCATAAAAGAGAGACAGACACAGAGGGAAAGAGGAAGGGGGAGGGAGGGAGAGAAGAGAGAGAGTAAAAGAGAGAGAGAGCAACAGCGTTCACTGTCTATTTACACCCACGTTCCTCCGTCCCAGCTTCTTGGCACCCCTTTTATTTTTTTGCATTGAGGACTCGGTATGGGTGTCTTCTCGGTTTAAACGGACAGGACGGGTCCAATCCTCACCTGAGCTGCGGGGGTGTTTCTAATAAACAGGGGCTCTTTGAACCCACCAGACTTTTTTTCTACCCCCCTTACTGTCTTATAGCAGGATGGGGTGGTACAGTCCATCGGGGGGGAGAGGGTCTATAAATAGAGAGATATAGAGAACACGGTCCTTTGTGCTCCAACTCAGAGCGAAATAACTGCGCGTTCACGAAACGATTGTTCTCTGCTCAGAGCCCTGACATGTTTACCTGACATGTTTACACCTAATATGCACATAAACAACCCGACATGTAGAATGTATGTGTTCAAAGAGCTCGAGGTTCCTCTGATTCCAGCTGCGCACAGCAGCTGCTCTCCGGACGGTGGACAGCTCCGCGGTGCTGAAACGCGGCAGCGGCGCTGAATGAGAATCTGGATGGAGGATTTGGCTGCAGGGTTCATTAGGCTGCATTTATTTTTGTTGCTCCCGAGAAGAAACGTGTTATTTGCTTTTAATTCGATGTTTAGTTGGGGATTTATTATCTTCCTTTGTCGTCTTCTCCGAGTCACGAGGAGCAGCTGACTTGATCCTCCGGCAGAGAAGAGGTCTGTGAGCACCGCCGAGCGGCGTGCAGAGGAGAAGCCATGCAAGGAAGTCTGGAGCTCCCACAACCCAGAGGTCTTCCTCTGAAACAGATACATAATGGGGAGAAGTACCGAAAGAAAAATAGCTCAATAAATACACATTATTAATAATAAAACAACAATTAGCCTTTAAGTGCAGACTCTGAGAAGCAGTTGTTCTCCTTGTTAATACATTATTTTCATTCACAATCTGTTCAGATTCTTCATCAGTGATTCCTTGCTTATCAAATGGTCATAATCTTTACAGTTTATTTAGTTGTTGTTGAACAGTCTTGTCATAAGAGCTGCAGCCAACACAGATTTGTCTCTATGTGATGAACTGAACCTTTGTGATCTCCTGCCACTGGAAGCTACCTAGTTTTTGCCCCTGCCTGTGTGTGTTTGCCTGTTAGTAAAATATTTCATGAATAACTGTACGGACTTCAATTAAATTACGTTAAATGCAGTTCTAAAACGGATTAACTTTTGCTCTACACAGTTTAAGATGGCTTCCACAATGACTTGATCTGAAAGAAATGCCTATAACTCTGCCAGCGTCACAGATCCTGACCTCATGTTTGGTGTGGTAGTAGCTGAGACTGACCTCCTGTATGCATTTTAAGCTCTTTTAGATTTCACATGATATTTGTAGAAAATGTTGCCATTAATTATTAGCAGTCAGCTCTGTCTATTAACAAAATACCGGTCAGATCTTGACGAAACCTTCAGAGTAATCATGTACATCTTCAATCTGTTAGCTTTTGGTATCTCAATTCAAAAAGGTTACCACAGTTTATTGACATAACACAAAAACGTCTATAGTTCAGTGAAATTCACATATATTGATCTTACATTCAATCTGGTAGTAGCTGAATCATTCATAATACATACTCTAGATGTGAAATCCTGTGATACTGTGTGAGATTGCACATAGCATTCTTTTTATTTTTGACCAAAAATATCTATATCTTTGCCAGTTTTCATCATAAGATAATCTTGCTGGAAAATTCTTACATGAAGGGCTGTGGGCAATATGTCAAGGAAATGTAGGTTTTGTAATTGTTACATTAGTTCGAAAGAGAGATTTCTGCTCTGCTCTTATCAGAGTGCTCCAGGAGAGGATGATCTTTATGAGACAAAAACATCATTTTTAGTCTTATAGTCCAAACTACAGGGATCTCTGTCTCTAAAGCAGTTCACAGCAGGGTGAGCTCGCTGTGAGGGGGAGCATCACATCCTGCACTCACAACAAATTGCAATTTTAAAGCCTAAACTGGGAAAAAGCTCAAGTTACAAACACAAAAATGTGTAGCCAGTATAAGGACAAAGCACTTTTAAATGTTTGGTAAATAGCACAACCTGTTTAAGATCTTTGGTGGTTCTGGTTTATTCCCTTTGGGAGTCAGTCCATTTTCTTTATCTCTGCTCCCAAGAGGGGGGGTGGGGGTGGGGGCCCAGCTGGTGTCCTGTTTATAAATGGTTAGGAGGAGTGCTGATCCAGTTTGAGGCCAACCTGATGAATGTCATTTTAACAGCAGATGACTGAGGACTTGCTGCTGAACAAAGTAGGGTCAGGTCTGGCCCCTGGGGGACCGCCATGACCACACAGAGGGGCCAAAATACTTTGGCAACATGGCTCCTGCACATTAATGAAACTCTAAGGACTAATGTTTTCACCTCATTTCCCCATCACCCCACCCACTATAAGGACATTAGCTAATCATTAGGTAACAAAATACTAACGGTGCCACAGCACCCCTTTCCACTTTCTGCTCATGTGCCAGCTAAATGGCTCCTCTAATGTCATCCCATTCTCACGGCGTGACCGAGACAGAACAGCTCCTGGGGTTTGGTGGGGGTGGCGTGAGGGGTGCTTGGCTTTCTCCCTTGGCGTGACGCTGTGCTCTGCTCTCCAAGCCTTCCCCCGGGGCCAGCAGCACAGCGGTCCTGCCTGCGCTCACGCCTGACTTACCTCTAGCAATATTTTTTAATACAAGAAGGAAACGGGAGGACACAAATCATTGTGATTATGCTCACCGGGTCCTGCTGCCATGATGGTGATTATGTAAGGTGTGGTTTGCTCACAGTCTGCCTCCTGACATGACTTACCTGTGAGGCAGCGTGGCACTTTATTTTTTGTTGTTGAGCTCACACATCTGTTTAGCCTGTTTATGTAAATTCAGGTGTAACTGTGTCTAAATCAAGTTGATCCTAAATTGGCTCAATATTATTTGAATGGATAGTTCAGACTGTTTGACGCGTGATTCTGTGGAAAAGATCTGAACAATCAATATATTTAACTTAGCATTTTGTTACTTCTAGCTTTTAGCTAGCATTTAACCTGTTACATTTAGACTAACATTTAGTTTTTAACTATTATCTAGTGTTTTGCTACTTTTAACAGGAATTTTAACATTATGTTAATTACCCTTAACATTCTGGCTTTTAGCTCTCCTCTCACACCTGTTCTCCTATCTGCTCGTTAGCTCAGGTGTTTCAATACAGTCATCGTTCCTCTGAGCAAACTCCCGGGTCTCATTGTGTCTGGGTATTATCATGTTGTTTGCTTCACAGGGCCACTGTGGAAGAATGGTTAGAGCAGTCGTCCTCCAATGGGAGAGTTGGGGGTTCAATTCCACCAGCAGTCACATGATGACGTGTCCCTGGGCAAGACACTGAACCCCTCATTTCCTCCAATGTGTGTCCCATCAGTGTATAAATGTGATTTAAAGCTCTGATTAGTCTCCACAGGTTCAGATTAGCTTTGTAGAGATCTAGTATAGAGCTGTATGAATGGGTAAATGAGGACACAGATTGTAAAGTGCTTTGAGTATCTTAATAAGATAGAAAAGCACTAAATAAATACAGTCCATTTATCATGATTTCCTCTATTTTCCTGTGTTTATGTTAATTGATCTTCATTCATTTCTGTTTTTTATTTGCATTGCTAGTTTGGTTGCCTTGACAGTTTATTTTAATAAAGTTTTTATTGTTTACTTGTACGTCTGCCTTTGTGTCTTTTTCTGTTATTAAACCCTGTAGGTAACTAATGTTATATCCAGTGTTAGTATCACCCATAAATATTTTAAATGCCATATAAAATTATTCATTTAGTTGAAAAACTTACAAAACATAACACAAAACAATAATTAGATAATTCACATTATTTGTTTTGAGCTGTGCCCCACAGGACTTTATGAATCGACTGTGCCTGGACATTTTTACAACAATGTTCACATAAACTGCCAAGACATTTTTGAGCGTTGTTTTAAGATGGCAGCCATCCTCTTTAGTCTTGCCCATGTTGGGATGAACCATTAGCCCATCAGTTTGATAAGAAATAAACTCTAATTATAAGATATTAGCTTTTCATAAGATATGAGACTGAGTTTGATGCAGCTCCTCAGACTGAAGAAGTCTTTTGGATAAAAGACGAAACGTTTCAACCAAGAAGAATCCATCCAGAGGACCGGACTTAACCTTGTTAGATTTATCTACCAGGATTATTGAGCATGCATCAGGGCATAGCTTTTAATAACTTTGCCACAGAGCACCACTTCAACAGGTCTGAACAATTTGTTTCAATTAGTTTTCCGCACGTAAGATTAAAATTTTAGTAATAAAATGTATGAATATGTAGGAGCCCGTTCACTTTACAGGTACCTGCGAGCTGACAGAGAGCAATCACTGTCCATGGTGCTGGATTTAGACGTGCGCTATAAGACCTGATGTGAAAACATTTAAATACTTCCAAGGAAACAAACAAATACTAATTTTACTGTTCAGCTCTTTAAATAAGGCACAGGTGATCTTATATGCACTTGCTGCACTTCTCAAAACACCCCTTTGAGCTCTTCAAAAAGAGGTCACTTCATCCCCTCCCATGTCTCTCCAAATGAACCTTTACAATTGTGAAGCAAGGGAAGCCTATTTTCCCCGGGAATATTGCTTGCTTTCTCGTCACGGCTCCAATTTTCAGTTTCAGCACTGTAAACGGTTGCAGCAGGGCAAATAAATGAAAAGGGAAATGAAATTCTGGGTAGCCAAGTTACACAAATAGATTGATAATCTGCATAAGACACCCTAAAGTGCTCGGGCGTTTTTCAATATTACCTATTCTGCATAGTAATGTCTTTTCTCACCTCTCCTTCATGTGGGACAAAGTTCTAAATCTCCTTTAGCCTTGGGACATCCAGACTGTAGATCACCTCCCAGTAATTTAGGAGGCAGAGCACAAAAAGATAAGAGAATGGCGGGCGCGTGACTAAATGCTTTGAAAGTCTAAAGGGACAAGGAGGGCAGGAAGGTTCTCTTTGACATTTATTAGTGCCAGTTTGTTGGAGATTGGTAA